TTTATTAACATCTGAACCTCAGAGTTTGTTGTTAAAATTTTTATAGGAAATTAATCTCACAATAAGCTGTATATTAGTAATTTGTTTTGATTCTGTAAATAAATGATCACATTTATTTATAGATCAAACGAGTCACTGAGTACGCTCATCTTATTTTGTGTTTTGACAATTCATTTTTGCACGGAAGAGATATCTACCGAAAATAAGAAGAACCCGTGAATTTCCTTATAACTTTCYTTATAAGAAGTGTAGGTTGAACCCCTACATTACTGTAACAAATAACTTTGTCAAAACTTTAGGCATTAAAGGCGATGAGTGATATGCATTCCTTTATGGAATGAGAGGCCTTTATAAATGTATTGAATCTTGTGTAAAGGAACAGCTGCACATATTAAGCATCCCACCTCTGCATTTAATAAAAAAATACTGTACATCTCTTTCATAGCTTCTTGCTACTTTTTTACAATAGTTAAATACAATCATAATTGTACAAATATTAAATTTAAAATAACATTCAGTGTTTTTGAACAAGATTAAAATAAAACTGCAACAGCACTGATTTCATTAAACATCTTCTAAGGATTTCTATAAAGGAGAAGACTCAGACATCAACACAAGTTTGAGTTGTGTACCAACCAGCAGAAGTAGACAGAATAAGGTACAGCTAGCAACCACAGGGGAGTCTACTCTACCTCTTTTTTGGCCCTCTCAGCCTTTCGCACCTCAAGGCGGAGTGCCTCAACTTTCTGATTCTGGCTCTCCATCTCCTCTTCTTTGTCCCTCAGCTGACGAGTAAGGCGTTGCTTCACAGACCTGAAAGTGGAGCCAAAACAGGTTTTTAATGTTGCATTGAGCTAAACACATCAACACAGAGGGTCTTTCATGATGAACTGAATGTCCGTAATATATATTGTGAGAGTTTCACACAAATGAATGTGTGCAGTTTAGGCATGAAAACTCTTTTTTGTTTTCTGTTCTGTTTAGAGTTATATATGCAGACACAATGAAAGTAGGGAGCAGGTGGAAGAGAGTCTAGGGAGGTGGAGGTATGGAGAAAGAAAAAGAAACACTTGATGATGTAAGAAGATTTTACTGTCAAAATGTATGTAATAGTAGGGCTGCTCGATTACTGCAAAAATTATAATCACAATTTTTTTGATTGAAATTGAAATCTAGATTATTTAATAAAATTATTCATTCACTTTGATAACATGAATTTATTGGACATAAACAATGGCTGTTAAGCAATGTTTCCCTAAGGATTTCAAATATTTTTGAAAAAATAAAAAATTAGACAAAGTTTTAGTTTGAGGAGCCTGCAGCATGGCAGTGGCACTGGATTCACAACACAAAACAGCGTAAATAGGGCCCTATAAAATCTGTTTTATTTTGTCCAAAATTTCGTTTTTTTCCGTTTTTATTTTTCTAAATGGGCAAGATGCTTCACCCGAATGCCTCTGATGTGTGTCCCATCAGTGTATGAATGTGACTGGCACTGAATAGTCTCCATAGATTGATTGTATATGTTAGCTTTGTAGGAGATCTAGTAGAGTGCTGTGTGAATGAGTAAATGAGGACACAGATTGTAGTGTGAAGAGCTTTGACTATCCTGGTTGGGTAGAAAGGTGCTATACAAGTAGTCCGTTTACCATTTAAATTCCACTTTTTACATTTTTTCCCCTAAATTCCACATTTTCATGGTAACCTTATTTAACAAACTAAAGAGTGCATAATTAAAAAGTGACTGAACAATAATTAAACAAATAAATAGCCACAGAAATAAAAAAACATCTGTTATTTCACTTTTACTAAAATAACAAATACCGGTGGTTCATAGAACATTTAATTTTTGAAAGGTGTTTAAAAGTATTTACTAAAAAACATTGTGTGTAAAACAGAAGCTATCTTTTGTAAAATAAAATTGTTTTAGAATTGAACTT